TGTTAAATTCATTTTAGCTTGGTTGCTTGGTGCCCTTTAATTACTTTTACAGTGCAGCTTTTCAAAGCATTTTATGGTGCTTTATAATATAAGAGAAAGACCCTGGAATAGTATAGACAGAACCCCAATGAAGGGCGAAGGAAAAAAGTTTCCATTTAACAGAAAGAGACCTTCGGCATAAAGGCATAAATACCTAGGCTGGTTAAACATTTGACCTAGACCTTTATTGTTAGCACCCAAGGTCACAGTTGAACTTGAAAAAAGAAACATATGGAGTAATAAAGCATCTGAAAGAGAATGTAGAGAGCTGTACAACATACTTTAAATTTTTTAATATGACGCTCTACGATGTCACAAAAATGCCATAATATACATGTTTAAAGCGCATTTTCTCAGTCTAGAACACTTCTGCACATGCAGCTGTTAATGTTTGACTTTAAATCTTTAATAGAGTTGATCATTATTTCAGTCATGCATTGTTTAGTCCTTAATTCTTGTGCAACAACATTTTATATTAGTAGCAACCGGTGACTCGCAGTCAATGTTCATGTTCAGGGTTTGTGTTTAAATGTGAAGAAGACTAGCTTTCTTTTTTCCCGTTTAATAAAAAAATGCTAAACTGAGGTTGTATAGAATGCATTTAACATAATATTAAAGAGATTCATTGCTTTGTTGTACCATAAAAACTTTATATGACTTATCCTTCTCCAATACTGCATGCTCAAAGTAAACACATTATTATAAATCACCCCTTTTAAGCTGATGTTACTTATTTTCTCAGGCAACGAGTTTGCATAATGTTTTAAGCAAAGCCAGCTTATCAGATTTTACAGTCTAATACCCCTACTTCACTACATATCAGAGAAGAAAGCCTACACGGCTAGCGTTTTTTGGAAGCTATAATTGGGAAATGAAAGCTCTCTGCACCAACACATGCATTCAATGGATTAGACCTTTGAGCTCTTTAAGAATCTCTGTCAAATAAAAACAATGGATTAAAAAAAAGACATACTGATTAAACTACCAAACATGAATAAGAAGTCTCCTGATAATAATCCTAATTAATATCACATGACCTTATAAAAACTGACAGCATTAACTGAGAATTTGTTTTTTTGCATGCAGGACTTAACTCATTAACATCACTACAATATTTTGACAGTTTGAGGTGTTGATGGAGGCAGAGCTGGAGGAGGCACAGTTTAAGATGTTATGGTTTCAACTTGGAGTGACCAGGATGAGTACATCAGACAGCTCAGATTTAGCATTTTGGAGACACAGTCACAGAGGAGGGATAGAGGATATACTGGACAAAGAATGCTGAATATGGAGCTGTCAGGCAGGATGCAACGAAGAAGAACAGAAAAGATTCATGGATGTAATGAAAGAGGATATGGTAAGGGATTGTGATAGAGTGAGATGGAGGCAGTGAAATCACTCTCTCTATAAAGAGAGTAAACTTTATTCTCAAAATCCAAAATGTCAAACTTTATTTTTATTTTAAAGACATTCTTTGAATTTAATCTCAGGTAGAAAGAGTTGTAGCATATTTTATGTGTCCATCCAACTTTTGTCATTATATATATATTAATATTACTTGAGATCTCTGCTTTCAAATTTTGGTGTGGTGTTTGATAATGTGTAAGACACATGGAGTAAAAGTCCAGAATCCAAATCTTTAGAACAACAATAAGACAAAGCACTTTATTTATCCCCAAAGTTAGGAAATGACTGTGTTACAGCATCTTTTACTTTAAGTCTAGAGATCAGTTGGGTCATCATTTAATTGTCTGCTTGCTGTAGAATTCAAAACCAGCTCATGGAGCACTCCTTGATTGTCTGAATTCGCCACAAACTTACATCTGCTCAACATTCTCCTTTTAAACCAGACTAAAAATATGTCTCTGTTCTCGATTTTTTAATGAGGACACATTTTTTGTTGTGGAATCAATATTTCTTTCATTATTTAGTTTTTTACTTACTCAAATGATTTGTTTTTATGTGTGCAGATTCTAGGATTAGATTTTCTTTATTATTTCTGTCACATTTTCCCATTTTTTTCTCCTTTTTGAAACATTTTAAGGTTAAAAATGCCATATTATCTGATCTTTTTAAAGTAAATTAATTATGCAGATTATCCAGTGATAAATATCTGGTATATCTTTCACTGATCAAGCACCATGGACACCCCTGTGCTACCTTGATCTCTCTAATCTGCTTCCATTAACACACCTACAGCACTGAAACAGCAGGACAATCATGTTTTATGATAGAGGATTTTAAGAAAACTCAGTTTAATCTGTGCTTTTGTAAGTTGATAGCACTCATTTGTATTTGTTTGTGCTATCAAATAAGTACAGTGTCATGTTTTGAGTGGGTTGTTTCCTGATGTTCTGTAGAGTTCAGCTAAACCGTTATAAAACCAGAGCAGCCTGATATAAAAGCATGAAATATTTATAAATATACAAATGAGAACCAAAAGAAATTCTAGTCGAGACCTTCGGGGGCAATCCCTCAGCTATCTCCTGAAGCTCTAGTAAGGGAGAGCATAAGAAGATTCACTTTATCCTCATGTTTTAGTTCCTTTTGGGGGGTTATGTAAATATTTTATGAGAAAACACCACAGTCTGGAACTGCAATACATGGAGTTGAGGTTAGAATATGAAATAAAATGGATGCATTGGTGGATGGATGGATGGATGGATGGATGGATGGATGGATGGATGATTGATTGATTGATTGATTGATTGATTGATTGATTGATTGATTGATTGATTGATTGATTGATTGATTGATTGATTGATTGATTGATTGATTGA